CATCAATACCAATTCATCCGAAATTTCGGAAAAATAATTATGATAATTATGGAATTAGACCTTTATAAAAATGCCTCATGAACTGTGCAAACAGCTTTCAGATCATGGCTGAAGATAAACAGCTAATATGGGAATTAATTATAGACAGGAAAAAATAACAGATATAGTAATTAAGAATACCAATATTTACTTAGAACAAGGCATAATTATAAGGGTGAAAAATTCATTCATATAGTATGGATGGATAGCATTGGTTATAAATTCAATTATTATTAAAAAAATTTTATTAGAAAAAATTATTGTCTGGTTTTGCATTGAAAGCCAAGTTCTTTTTCATCACTTTTTGGACATTGAAAAGTTTTTTCATCAATTAGAATTTATTTACAAAGAAAAGAGGTCAACGTATAAATTTAGAAATTATTGAGAGGCTCAAAGTAATGTTTCTCAAGGTAATATATGAAATTATCAGCCGAAGATATGTGATATACCCAAATCAAGAGTTAGAGTTCAAGATTTAATAAACAATAAGAGCAATTTCATAAATTAACTTTAACATAAAAATAAATTAATTAAAAAAATATTCCTTAGCAAGCTTTTTCTTATGTAAAATTTATGACTTTACGTGAAAAAAACTTTTAGATATAATTCCAAGTGCTGTGATTTTCAACTATGTTATAATAGACTAACATGAGAAGCACAAGAACCTTTCTCCATTTTTCTAAGTTTAAATAATCACAACGTTTTTTCCTCAAAGAATATATCCTTCATCCACTACCACATCTGAAATCAGTACTTCTCCCACCGAGACGATTGTTCCAGCTGTAACTGAAGCTGTTGGCGGAACATCTGACGAAATGTCCGATGCTTGTGGTGAAGATATTTTATATACTTTAATATTCTTTCATTTTTATACTTATATTTTCCATTTTTTATAGGTAAAAAAAGAAAAACAAGAGAAACTCTTTCACAAAATACAAAGTGTAGCCAAAGAATTAAGCAACCATTGTTGCTAATATTATCAAATTTAATAAATTTTTAGTAGTTATTCTGTAAAAAAAATCCATATTACAGTCGGCGCTCAATATAGTGAACCTACTATATAGTGAGTGAATCATACGATATAATGAAGTTGGGAGATTTCGTTATATATAAATTCAGCTTGATATAATGATTTTTAATATAAAATCTATATAATGATACAGTGAAGCTCTTTTGCCAAAAATCAATTCTTTATATCGAACGCTGACCGTAATGTATTTTCCGTGTGTTTTCCATACGGTTTCAGTACAAAATTTTTTTATAGTAATAGGGCAAGTTATAGTTAACAAATAAAATATCCTATAAGAAAAGAAATATCATTTTTATTTACGAATTTTATCAGTTACTTAATATTAATAATGAAAAGGTTCGTTTTTATTTTCGGCTTTACCAGTTACTTAATAATATTCCATGGGGAAATCCAGACCGCTTAATCAACCAGCTGCTGCCTTATTATTATGAAATAAACTAGATATTTACATGTCAATTTTTCAATATACGGAAAAAGCTCTGTAATGTAGACTAATACACTTTTCACAAAATTTATCAGAGTATCTTTCTGTTGGATTCTCTTGGTTCATAGTTATATTATCTAATTCGAAATTATAAATAAGCCACCCTCTACAAAATTTCTTTTGTTCTTTGTTTTTATTGACTGATTGTAAAATAATTTTTTTATTTTCTTTGTCAGAAATAGAAGCAGTTTGAAAAGCAGAATGAGCAATACTATCCATTTCATTTAAGTACTAATTCTCTTCTGTCTTTGTTATTAACTTACAGTCATCATCTTTTATATCCCCCTCTTAATCTCGTTTTCATTTATATCCCGCATCTGAACAGTTAATATACTCAGTTATATCCCCACAAAATTTGAAAAACAAAATATTTATTTTTTAAAAAGTAGTATATAACAAATTTGTATTTTTGACACACACAACATTCCTTTTTGGTATATAAAACAAATTTGATTTTTTTTTTCTCTCTCTCTTCATTGTTTTTTTCTGTTGGGAATTTAGTATCTTTTATTTCTCCTATAGTAAAATATTGAATATAATATAAATGATTGCATTAGACTGGAATAAAAAATAAGTCCGAATGCACCTTTACATATAATGAATTTTTAATCCAGCTAAAACTTTATGTTATCCACCCTCATCATCCTCATTATTGATCCCTTGATTTAGGACTTTGAATAATGAATTAGCTTCAAAAACATAACGATACAATCAACACCAAAAAGAATTTATCAAACTTTTATTTCAAAAAATGAAATTTGGTATTGCTTATTTTGCATCTAACATTCGACCT